TGGATCCCGGATCCGTAGAGCGTATCTATCCGATGGTCAGTTTCAGTGGCAAAATGCACCAATCAGACACACATGATGCCCTAAACTGACAGGTGCGTATACGCAAAAAGGCGTGAGAGTCCGAGCGTCGCAAGCGACCAACACAACTAATTCTCTACAAGGTGGACCTAGCAGCAGTGATTTTCGCGCTAAGTAGTTGAGAGATTTCAGCAGCAGTCACAGCACTCGCCTCACTCAGCTTACTTCGAGGTCGGAGCGTGTGGGCAGGCGAGTGAGTGATAAAGTTAAACCGATATTTACACGTACCACACACGTGACAGATTGACTATCGTAGCGTGTGCTCCACTGCGTGATGGTGGTGCAAGGACGCTGGCTTACGCGCGGATTAGTTTTAAGTGCTAGGAGACTTACGTTGCATCTATCGCACCTTATCTTCCCTCACCCACCCGAGACAGGTGTTAAGACGGAGTCAAGAAGACTAGTGGGGGAGGGAGAATCGGTTACAGATGGTCGACAGAGCAAAATCCGCGCCAATGCGAGTAACTATGAACATTGGTCAGCAACAAACACCATCAACAACCCCAGCTCACACCTACCTGGCCTCCGTGTCATACACCATTCGATCACAACTTATACTACCAGGATTTTAACACAGCAAGAGGATAGAGGCATAAGCTCGGGTCCTAGCTCACATGCCCTGATTATCCGTGTTTGACACTAGTTCCCAAGGGAGAATCACAACGAGCATACTGAGAAGGAACCATCACAGGCTGACCATCAGTCTCTAGTGGGACTCAGGTATCCTGTAAATTGAAAAACTTTCAAGATATGATTTTCAGCTTGTCGTGATAGGTTAACGTCTCCTAAACGGACCGCGCGGTAGACGCGCTGGACCAACACGCAGGCCAGATCAGGGCACGGCAGACGTTATTCGGGTTGTAATACCGTAACAAACGCCTAAAATGGGGTATGAGCATAGTGACACGCGTAGGTGCAAGCTCGCGCCGCACCAGCCACCCGCAACCAAACTCTTGCCCGGTCTTCTTGACTCTGTCTTGACGCCAGCGCAAGTCTATGACCACTTTAAACCAATCAACGCGCAAATAAGCTTCTCTGCACAACTGTGGACGTCCTCGAAATCGACGCTCCAACTACCG